TCTCTGGTGAATCCTCGTACCTCCCCCACCCCCCAACACCTCTGGCCTACATCCCAGTTGTATACAAAAATAAATAAAAATAAATCTTTAAAAAAAAAAGTGAAAGATGGCATACTTTTACATGCTCTTGTTGCTGACATTCCCAGATAGGTCTTAGAACCATTTCCAATCTCAGAGAGGAAGCTGAATGTTAGGTTCTTTATTTATTATTATTTTTTTTATAGAGGCATGTTTATTTATTTATTTGTTTGTTTGTTTGTTTGTTTTGTTTATACACGCACTGGGTACAGTCAGAAGCGCGGGAGGGTGAGAGAATTCACCAGAGCCAGAGCAGGGAGCAGAACAGGCAGAAGGACCGAAGTACACTGCTGAGGGGAGCAGCGGGCGGCAGGAGAGGACTGCGCACCATATGGGACCCTCCTCCGGTGGCCGGGGAGCCGGGGAGGCCCAGGTTCTTTATTTTTTTAACTGTTCTTATTCAAATAAGGAATTTGTTTATTACATCCTTGTCTGCCTTAGAGGCTGGCCACACATGAATTGCCTAGCTGGCCCAAAGGAAGTCTATTTCTTGAAAATAATGCAGCCTACAATACCAGAAATTGTTAAAAGTATTTCAGCAGCAACAAAACCTTACCAAGAATATGAGTTTTCTGGAATTTGTTAAGGTGTCACAGTAGGGGATAACAGAATTTAAAATAGAATGAAAAATGCCACTAGTATTCCATGACAAAACTGCTAATTAGGCATTTAAAGCCATCAAAAGATGAAGCTGGGAGGATCTGGCAACTGTAGCTATAGAACAACTACAAAGTTTTTCTGTTAATGGTCAGGTAGTAAATATCTTAGGCGTTGCAGGCCATAAGCTCTGGGTCACAACAGTGTTACTTTGCCACTGTAGTATAAAAGCAGTCACGGACAATACATAATTGGCTGTTTTTAAATAAAACTGTACTTATGGACACTTAAATATGAATATCATATAAATTTCACTTTTTAAAAAGTTTTTCCGATGACAAGAAAATATGAACACTATTCTTTGCTCACAGGTTGTTAAAAAAAAAAAAGGGGGCCGGCTTTTGGCCCATGGCCCAGTTTGCTGACCCTTCATATACAGAAATAGAAGATTACATCAAAGATGATCAATGCACTTTTTTTCTTTGAAGATGCTATATTTATATATATATATGTTATATATATAATATGTTATATTTATATAAGTATGTTATATTTAACAGAATATCCCAAGGATATTCTGGTGACTGTATAAACCACTTAATGGACTGTTCTTGTTTTATTTATTTTTTTTATCATCTTAACCATATTCAAGTATACAGTTCTTTGGTGTTAAGTATATAAACATTGTTGAGCAACCAATCTACAGAATTTTTTCATCTTGTAAAACTGAAACTCAAAACTTTATTAAACAACAATTTCCTGCTTCCCCCTCACATCACTCCCAGCAAGTTCCTTCCAGCCCTTGGCAGCCACCAGATTTTAAACACTGTGGATCACAGGAAACCTGTCTACAGAAGGGATCTAGTCCAGAGGATGCTAGTTTGCACACACGGCTTCACTCAGGGTCTTATAAGGTTGTTTAATTCAAGTAGGAATTACAATTACAATGGACCGAAGATAAACACGTGTACAAACACAACTGGAACAAAAATTTCCTAAAACAATACTTACCTTTGTCAGATGGAGGTTAATATTTTCTTTAAAAAAAAAAACTATTCTATTGTAAGCTGTTCTTCTTTTTTTTTTTTTTTATTTTATTTATTTATTTGTTTGTTTGTTTGTTTATACATGCACTGGGTACAGTTAGAAGCGCGGGAGGGTGAGAGAATTCACCAGAGCCAGAGCGGGGAGCAGAGCAGGCAGAAGGACCGAAGTACACTGCTGAGGGGAGCAGCGGGCAGCAGGAGAGGTCTGCGTGCCATGTGGGACCCTCCTCCAGTGGCCGGGGAGCAACCGGGGATCGAACCGGCACCATAGAGGCCGCGGGTAGCTTTGCAACCCAGCGCTCAACCGCTGTGCCACCGGGGAGGCCCTGTAAGCTGTTCTTCTAATCTCTACAATTGCATTCAAAACTGACCAAATTTTTTTTATTTTAAAATTTTTATTATTGAGGTAATAACATTAGTTTACTGTACTGTGATTCAGGGATATAGGTCTATATCTTCTCAAACGCACATTACCACACCACATCCACCACCAAAGTACCTCTTACCATACACCACTGTGGCCTCTCCCCCCTTGTCCCTACCCCAACAAGCACTCTCAGTGTTGCAGTCATATTTCTAAGTTTTGTTTTGAAAATTGACATAGTTTTAAGTACTACTCAAGAGAATCTGCCAATCTCAGGCCAGCTGAAGGGTAATGCTATGCACCAATGTTTCATATTACATGGAAAAAAAAGGTAAGCTACAATTAAGCCAAAATGGTGAAGAGACAGAAGCTACAAGGATATGAAATTATTTATAAACATACAATGTTGACCTGTAGCATTTGAAAAAAAAAAAAAAAACTTAATAGTTCCAAACCAGGCTCCCTGTAGAGAGCTAGAAATTTTATCAATATTGGGCCTTCATTTCCACTAGGCAACAATCAGCAGGTGCCAAGTGGTAACAGTCTTTTCCTTTATTTTATTTATTTTTTAAAAAGATTTATTTATTTATGCTTATAAGAACTGGGGTATAGGCCAAAGGTGTGGGATTCACCAGAGACAGAGTGGGGAGGAGATTCACCAGAGAGACAGAGTGGGGAGCAAAACAGGCAGACTGACTGAAATACACTGCTGAGGGGAGCAACGGGTGAGTCAGGAGAGGTCTGCTGTGCCATGTGGGTCGCTCCCTGGCCGGGGATTGAACTTGTGCTTCAGTGGCTGGCAATAGCTTGAGAGCGCTCTGTCTTTAACACCTGTGCCACCAGCGAGGCCCCAGCCTTCTCCTTTTAATGAAAGGTGTGTGTTCCATGTGACCATGATCCCAAACACTCCTCTTAGAAGTATCAGCTGCTCTTTCTGTCACAGTTGCTCTACTGTTTTTAAAAATAGGGAAATCTCTTTTCTGGTGTCTTTGTCAAATGTAGATAAACAAAAGGAAAGCGAAAAGAAACCCAAAACTGCATTTCAAAGAAAAGAGAGAGAATGAATATCAGAACCATCTTATACACCAAACCCATCATGAACCATGCTGGCATTTGTAACTGCAACCCTTGAAGTAAACGATGGAGTAGCTAGTTGTTGATGGATGACTAGAACCTAGAAGAAACAAGCAAAGTAAAAGAAGCAGAGACTAGGGCCTCCCTGGTGGCACAAGGGGTTAAGTCTCAGCACTATGAAGCTACCAGCAACCACTGCAGTATGAGTTTAATCCAGGCCACATGGCTCAGCAGACCTCCCTTGTCTTGCCCACTGCTCCCTTCAGCAGTGTATTTTAGTAGATTTGCCTGTTCTGCTTCCTACTCTGTCTCTGGTGAATCCTCCCCTCTCCCCACCACACCTCTGGCCTGTACCCCAGCTCTTGTATGCAAAAATAAATAAAATAAATCTTAGGGAAAAAAAGCAGAGGTTGAGTGTAATCATTTTATACTCTGCAATATTAATTGCAGAACACAAAAGTGAAGACCTATAAATTGCTCCCCTCAGCAGTGTATTTCAGTCAATCTGCCTGTTCTGCTCCCCACTCTGTCTCTGGTGAATCTCACACCTCTGGCCTACACCCCAGTTCTTGTAAGCATAAATAAATAAATATTTAATCTTTAGAATAAATAAATATCTAATCTGGGATAAGATAGGCCTTGTAAATCTGTGTTTTGAGGAATTAGAATTGGGCTTTCAAAAGTAATCACAATTAGCAAAAGAAACAAACATAAGCAAGCTAACAACCACAATACACAGGTGAGGTTTAGAGGCTTACAAGCAAGTAAGCAGAACCCGATGAATAAGCTAAAAATATGAGGAGGAGAAAAAGAGAGAAAACAGAGTGAGTGGGTAAACCAACAGCTAATGAGAGAAATAAGACACGAAAGAGAAGCAGAAAGACAGAGAAGCTCAGTTATATAAATGGCACAATTCTATTACAAAGACCCACAAACTCCAGCTTCTGAGTTTCCTAGAACTTCTATCTCTAAGGGACATAACCCATTAAGGCCCCTTCCACTTTGAATTTTATGTGACCTTAGTCACCATAATCTCCCCACAAATAGCCAATTAATGGCTTGTCATTAGCTAACTGGAAATTTGCTTCTAGCCATCATAAGTGCCTAACTAAAGCAGAACTTGTGGAGCATCTTCTTTGTTTTAAAGATGTTGTGAAAACCAAAAAAAAAAAAAAAAAAAAAAAAAAAGATGTTGTGAAAACCAGTATGTGGTATCATGTAATTTAGATTTTCTACTACTAGTAAATAAATGAGACTTCGGGAGGCATGGTGAATGCTACAATCAATTTTAGAAAGCTAAACCTGATAGTATAAAGTGGACAAGTCATAGTGTCACCCATGCCCAAAATCTTTCTAAAGGAAACTGTACTGCAAAAAAGTTAGGTGAAAAAAGCATTCTTGTGACCAACTATCCCTTCTTTCAAATCTAAGTCTGGTCAGATCAAGGGTTAGTAAAATTCAGACTTGAGGACAGACATCTATAGGCTGGTCAGGAGCCTGTGACATGAAAGCTGTTTCCAAAACAAAGTTGAGGTGAGGACCTCCCTGGTGGCGCAAGGGGTAAAAGCACAACACTATGAAGCTATCCACAGCCTCTGCAGCACGAGTTCAATCCCCAGCCAGAGTGCTACCCACATGACGCAGCAGACTTCTGTCTCACCCGCTGTTCCCCTCAGCAGTGTATTTTGGTCAATCTGCCTGTCTGCTCCCAACTCTGTCTCTGGTGAATCCTCTCACCCTCCCACACCTATGGCCTGTACCCCAGCTCTTGTATGCATAAATAAATAAATCTTTAAAAAGAAAAAAACAAAGTTAAGGTGAGAAAATCAGATTCAACTTACAGTTGGGAGAAACAGGAACAGAAATTCAGCAACTGAAATGAATGGATACATAATGAAAGAACATCCCACAGCCTGTATGAGAATCATGAAAGATTTAAGTTAAGATCAACTAGTCAGTAAACACAGGAATCAGAAGCCTTGAATAAACTATCCATCAACTACAGAATAAAGAACAGAGGATAAGGAGCCCATTAGCAGGAGGAAGCGAATTCAGTATATAAAGAAAATAGGGGTGTATAGTTATTTGTGAGACTGTCACTTCCAAAGATAGTCAGGTATAATACCTCTGGATGCCTCATGACTGGGTTTGCCAGATAGTTTAAGAGTAATTAAAGATTCTGGATATACTTATGATAGCTGAGTTGTTAGTCTAAAGCACTTTGGGATTGTACGTAAGGAAAGAAAGACATTTGCACATACCAGTCAATAGGCGAATAGGTCCATGCCCCAACAAACAGCAGCTGCTATCTCTACAGTCTCAGGAAACTTAACAACCCATAGGCAATCAGATTCTCAATTTAATGACAGCGTGGAGGGCAGAGCTGAAGCAGATGGTCTGCAGAGAAAAAGATGAGGTAAATGAAAGCCATATCTATAAAGGAAGCAAAAGGTCTAATCATGAGTAAGGACAAAAGGTAAATATTCAGTAGCTAGGAAACAGAGGAAGAAAGAATATGAGGAAACCAGCTAGTAGCTGAAGCAAGATGACATATACAAAAAATCAAAGAAGTTCAATCCATTAATAACATCACACTGGAGTTGAATTCTGTATACTTTTCCAACAGATGGAAGTGAATCCATTCTTTGCAATAGAATTTGGATTGGAAGGAACAGACCCTCAAAAGAAATTTTGTTATCTGGAATTGGTTATACTGAAGCAACAAGGTAGACAGTCAAGCAAATCATCTTCACATCCCAGTACATAATGCTAACAATAAGCAAAACATCCAGTAACTACGAACAATGCTTTTGGAAACCTAAAACTGTGAAATATGGACGAAAGTAGGTAACTAGCAGCAGAGACTGGAGATGAAAAGGTGCTTTAAGAGGCTGCAAGGGGAAAAGAAAGGTGCAAACATGAGGAACCCACTATGACTAAGCAAAAACTACTAGAGAAGTTATAAGAATAGAATAAAATGTCAGGTATCAGCAAACTACAGAGCAGGTATCAGCCAACACCAGCCTATATAGGCCAAATCCAGTTGACTGTTTTATAAATAGTTTTGATGGAACACAGCCACATTCATTCATTAATGTACTGCTTATGACTGGCTTAATGCTACAAAGGTAGAAACCATATAGTCCACAAAACCTAAAATATTTATTATTAGGCTCTTTACAGAAAAAGTTTGCAGACTCCTGCCATCAGAGAGCATTAACAAAACTGAGAGGACATAGAGAAACAGGGGCAGAGAAAATACTTAAGTTATGTTTGAAAACATAACTGGAGAAAAGGTTCTGAAACTCCTGCTGAGACAGCTATGACTAAGTACCTTTACTATAAAAAGGGGCCTCATTAGTAGCCTAGGGGTTAAGTCTCAGCACTATCACCTCTAAGGCCTGGATTCCATCACGGCCAGGGAGCTACTCACATGGCACAGCAGACCTCTCCTGTCTCATCTACTTCTTCCCTCAGCAGTGCATTTCAGTCAGTCTTCCTGTTCTGTTCCCCACTCTGTCTCTGGTGAATCCTCTCACCCCCCACACCCCTGGCCTGTTCCCCAGTTCTTGTTTGCATAAACAAATAAATCTTTAAAAATAATAATAGGGCCTCCCCGGTGGCGCAGCGGTTGAGCGCTGGGTTGCGAAGCTGCCCGCGGCCTCAGCAGCGCCAGTTCGATCCCCGGCTGCTCCGGCCACTGGAGGAGGGTCCCACATGGCGTGCGGACCTCTCCTGCCGCCCGCTGCTCCCCTCAGCAGTGTACTTCGGTCCTTCTGCCTGCTCTGCTCCCTGCTCTGGCTCTAGTGAATTCTCTCATCCTCCCGCGCTTCTGACTGTACCCAGTGCATGTATAAACAAAACGAACAAACAAATAAATAAATAAATAAATAAAAAATAAAATAAAAATAGGGCCTCCCCGGTGGCGCAGCGGTTGAGCGCTGGGTTGCGAAGCTGCCCGCGGCCTCTGCGGCGCCGGTTCGATCCCCGGCTGCTTCCCGGCCACTGGAGGAGGGTCCCGCATGGCGCGCAGACCTCTCCTGCCGCCCGCTGCTCCCCTCAGCAGTGTACTTCGGTCCTTCTGCCTGCTCTGCTCCCTGCTCTGGCTCTGGTGAATTCTCTCACCCTCCCGCGCTTCTGACTGTACCCAGTGCATGTATAAACAAACAAACAAACAAATAAAGAAAGAAAGAAAACATGCCTCTATAAAAAAAAAAAAAGAGTGAAATAAAATAAAAAAAAATAAAAATAAAATAAAAATAATAATAATAGTGAACTACAAGAAAAATTATTTATCCTCATTGTGAAGTGCAAGTGGAGAAAAAACTATAAATAAGAAACTTGAGCTACATAAAACAATTCCTATGACAAATTGGGGAAAATATCTGCAATACATGGTAGATTAAAAATCTCAATGACTAAGAAACTCCAAAATAAAATCCAAAAAAGATTTTAACTGTTCTATTTCACTAGGAATCAAAGAAACAAAAATCAAAACACCAAGGGAGACCTCTTATCACCTTCACAATTCTCAATTAAAAAAAACAAAACTATGGGCCTCCCTGGTAGCACAAGGGGTTAAGATACAACCTATGAAGATGTCTGCAGCCACTGAAGCATAAGTTCGATCCCTGGCAAAGGAACTACCCGCATGGCACAGCAGACCTCTCCTGACTTGCTCGCTGCTCCCCTCAGCAGTGTTTTTCAGTCGATCTACCTGTTCTGCTCCCCACTCTGTCTCTGGTGAATCCTCTCACCCTCACACCTCTGGCTTGTACCCCAATTCTTGTATGCATAAATAAATAAATCTTTAAAAAAAGGAACTAAAAGGTCAGTTCATTTTTAGGCAAACTATTAACTATACTGTACCAAACACAACAAAAAAGTCAAAGAAAAATATTCATTTCCATGTTCAACAATCATTTACTTGATTCAAAGACCTACCCCTCTGTCCAGATAATCCTGAAAGCCAATTTTTAAAAAAAGATTTATTTAATTTATGCATACAAGAAGCTGGACTCTAGGTGTGGGGGCAGGGAGGGGCATGGTGAGAGGATTCACCAGAGGCAGAGCTGGGAGCAGAATAGGCAGATCTACTGAAATACACTGCTGAGGGGAGCAGTGGGCGAGACAGGGGAGGTCTGCTGCACCATGTGGATCAGCTCCCTGGCTGGGAATCAAATTCATGCCACAGTGGCTGGAGATAGCTTGACAGTACTGAGCTTTAACCCCTGCACCACCAGGGAGGCTCCTGAAAGCCAAATTTAGGATTTGACATAGAAAATTAGCAAAACCACAGTCCTCTACCTTGGCTATTTGAATAGTGATTATAGCCAAATTAACTTCTGTATTAGACTCAACTGTGTGCCTAATTAGGTAGACAATATATGCTAGTGAAGAAGGTAAACACTAGAGCTGATAATGTTAAGGATAAGCAATTCTGATCTACTATTGGTGGGAATGCAAGTTGGTGCTATCTATAAGGAAAATGGTATGAAAATCCAGGAATACAGCTATCATAGCAGCACTGTCCACAATTTTTAAGTCATGGAACCAACCTAAGTGCCCTCCAGCAGATGAATGGATAAAGAAACTGTGGAATATATACTCAATGGAATACTACACACCTGTGGAAAAAAGATTAAATTATGGCTTTGGGGAGAAAAATGAATGGACCTCCAGGTGATTATGATAAGTGAAATTAAGTCAGAAAATGAAAGAGCTACTGCATGGTTTCACTCATCTATGGAATATAAATAACCAATAAACATACACAGGCATAATACAGAAGGAATAAATCTTGGACTTAGTGAAAGAAATTAATGGTTAACAGAGGGAACAGAGAAAAGAGAGAAGGGTTCTGGGAAGGAGGCAGAGAGGGTATTGGCACAGACAGTTTGGTGGAGAGTGAGTGGATCATGAGGACATATGGAGGAGCAAAAAATATTATGTCCAAAATTAAAAAAAAGAAGAACATGAATATAGACAACTGTCACTTTTAAGCCATGCAAAGAAAAACCTACGGCAAGAAACAGGATTCTCTAAAGAATGGTAATAACGTGGTCCATGAAGATTATATTACTCTACCAAGAACTCAAGTCAATATCTAGATGACTATCAAGTCATATGCATAAAGCATAGCTCACATAAGAGACATTGCAGTGCTAATTCAAGTATGGCTGTGTTATTCTATGAGGAAAATTACAAAGAATGCTTGCTTTGACATACAAGTTTTTCTGTTCTCAAGTCTTCCTCTGTACACTATAGAGTAGGGAAGGTATGCTACAGCTCCTGAGATGAAACTAGACAAATAACTTTTTGTAAATAAAGTTTTATTGGAATACAGCCTTGCCCATTTGTTTCCATATTGTCAATAGCTGTTTTCATGCTACAGAGGGGGGAGATGTACACCTGCAGAGAGAAATCATATACTGTCCACGATCTCCCTGGTGGCTCAAGGGATTAAATCTCAGGACTATGACGCTATCTAGCAGGCAGCCACTATAGCATAGATCGATCCCCAGCCAGGGAGGTATCCACAGAGGTAACCACATGGCGAAGCAGACCTCTCCTGTCTCGCACACTGCCCCCCCACAGCAGTGCATTTCAGTCAATCTGCCTGTTCTCCCCACTCTGTCTCTGGTGAATACTCTCATACCACTCCCCCTTCTGCACCTCTGGTGGGCACCCCAGCTCTTGTGTGCATAAAAAAATAAATCTTAAAAAAAATCACATACTGGGCCTCCCGGGTGGCGCAGCAGTTGAGCGCTGGGTTGCGAAGCTGCCCGCAGCCTCTGCACGCGGATTCAATCCCCGGCTGCTGCCCGGCCACCAGAGGAGGGTCCCACATGGCATGCAGACCTCTCCTGCTGCCCGCTGCTCCCCTCAGCAGTGTACTTCGGTCCTTCTGCCTGCTCTGCTCCCCGCTCTGGCTCTGGTGAATTCTCTCACCCTCCTGCGCTTCTGACTGTACCCAGTGCTTGTATAAATAAATAAATAAATAAATAAATAAATAAATAAATCTTTAAAAAAAAATCATATACTGTCCAAAAATTAACAATATAAGAAAAAGGTACTTAATTTTAAAATAAATTTATTTTTTTAAAAAAAGCCAAAAACCTAGGGTAAAGTCATAATTACAAAACATACATTACAATTTTTTGGATACTTGAGAATGGCTACATTTTAAAATGATGTCCCTGAAAAGAAATAGGATAAATGAGTAACTACAATGTGGCATTCCAAACACTAGTTTTTTCCTGCATGTATAGCCCAATTTGTGAAATGTGCTTTTGGAGAGAGTTTAATTTGATGGGAAGAAACTCAGAGGTAAACTATGAGATTCTATACTTTCTAAGATCAGCTGTAAATCTAAGTCCCACAGAAAAGAAAATGTGAAAGGGGGAATTTGGAGACATCCAGAAGTTGGCATATCTCTGTGAAGGGCCAGATGGTAATGCTTCAGGCTCTATGGACCATACAGTCCCTGTTGCAACTACTCGTCTACTGTAGTGCAAAGGCAACAACGGACAATAATGAATGAGTGTGACTATGTTTCAAAACAACTTTATTTATGAAAACAGTTGGCACGTGGGCCATAGCTTACCAACTCCTAGTCTATGCTAACTATGTGGACACTATTACCTTACCAGCAATCACATTTACAGAAGTATTAACTGAATGATAGGTACTTGTTTTCCATTTGCTATGAACAGAAAGTAATTTTGAATATTATCTAACAGCATAGATGTTCATGCAGAATTCTAGCTAGAACATGTTGATCTGCACAGCAGGCTGTTCTAGTCCCAATGCACCTGCACTTGAGTTAACATTCTGCAAGTGAAAGGATTTTCAGTTGGTACTCTGAGTCTTGTGAACCTTTTTTTTTTTTTTTTTGGTTTGGTATAAAAGTCTAAACTCACAGAAATTGTCCAATATAAACATCATGCAGGAGAGTACAAGTGAAAATGAAGAAGACAAAGGTAAATAAACAAATGGTGAATGGCTGTGTGGAAGAGAAATAAATGCTAGTCCACCTATAGGGTCATGATGAAAAGTTAGAGGACCCACCCATGCCTTTCTTATGCATCTGTATCTCCCTTCCAGAATGAACCTTTCATGCATGGCCCTTTGTCCTGGAAGACAGTGACAAGAGGAACCCATGAGAGGCAGCTTCGATTATAGTGAGGTGAGTTAGGGTCTTTGGACTGTGACACATAGTTTCACTCCTGATTCCCTGTGTTCCACTGGTGACATCATGTCTCTGATCCTCAGTTTTGTTATCTGTAAAGTAGGAAAAAATCCTACTCAGAGTTATTGTTAAGTTAAAGTGAGATGACAAATACATGTAAAGCATTTGTCTATAAAAGGTATTTTTAAAAGATAAATGTTATAATTATTAGATGACTAAAAAGGAAAGTTTCAAAAGCTGTGCTAGATGACTTGCCTAAAGAGAAAGAAAGAAAAAAACAATAGGGCTGTTGTCACAAAAGGAGAGGAGGGGGGTTAATGGAGATACGGAAGTCCTAGGCAAAGAGCTGCGTTTAGGCTGTGAAGCCAGGTTTATACAACCCACTTTGACCCATGCAGAAAAAGAGGTAGGAACACTTTTTAAAGCAGGATGCTAACATTCATATTTTTACATGGGAGGCAATATCATTTTTTTTAAAGTTTTTTTTTTTTTATAGAGGCATGTTTTATTTATTTATTTGTTTGTTTTGTTTATACATGCACTGGGTACAGTCAGAAGCGTAGGAGGGTGAGAGAATTCACCAGAGCCAGAGCGGGGAGCAGAGCCGGCAGAAGGACCGAAGTACACTGATGAGGGGAGCAGCGGGCGGCAGGAGAGGTCTGCATGCCATGTGGGACCCTCCTCTGGTGGCCGGGGAGCAGCCGGGGATCGAACCGGCGCCGCAGAGGCCGCGGGCAGCTTCGCAACCCAACGCTCAACAGCTGCGCCACCGGGGAGGTCCAGGAGGCAATATCATTTTAAAAAAAGTTCTGGTGGGGGACACAGAATGCAGGGATTCCCTTTATATTAATGACTATTCCAAGCTTCCCCCCAGGAAAAGTCAACTTTTCTATTATTCAGGTTGTTTATGAATGCTAATCTAATTATCTCAGTAGGAATTACTTAAATTAAACACTCCAGAGCTTGCTCCAGGAACATTATTCTAATGAAGGTACCATCTCAAGACCATCTTCATGGGAAAAGATGACCTTTCTCACTTGCATGAAAAACGGAAGATACCAAGTAATGAATGCTCTAGTCCTTAAGCATTAACTCCAGACTGGATGCTACTAGCTTAAGACAGGGATGGCAGAGATAGCCCAAGAATGGCCATTTAGTAGATGCTGTCTCATTTGAGCATGAATCATTTCGGTGCTTCCTAAAGTCCATTGGGGGGGTTTGACGTTTGAGGAGTCAAAAATGAACACTTGTCCAGTTGATTCATGAGGAATGCGACCCAGAAGACACTGCTTCTCTGACATTATCAATACAAAGTGCCACATGTTCGGTGGCTGAAAAAGCAAACCTCTGTTATGAGCATACTTTTGCCAGGATTTATGCAGCTCCACAGCCTGATAAAGAAAAACCTTCAACAAATCTTTTGAAGGAAGACTCTACGTTTAAGGGGAGTTCAAGCAGTGTCATGTTGACAACTATTTGTGACACGCACCTTATGCCATCTTGTTTACTTGGGAACCACTTCAGTTCTCATTCTTCAGAGGTGCTCATGGACTGGGTAAGTGCATAATCTACCCCAACTGCTTTGAGAAGGATGAATTATAGTACAAAAGCAGCACTGGCTCCAGGGGCCTCCCTGGTGGCACAAGGGGTTAAGACTTAAGCAGCTGTGAAGCTGTCTGCAGCCACTGCTGCATGAGTTTGATCCCGGCCCACCAGGGAGCTACCCACATGGCGCAGCAGACCTTTCCTGACTTGCCCCGCTGCTCCCCTTAGCAGTGTATTTCAGTCAATCTGCCTGTTCTGCTCCCCACCCTGTCTCTAGTGAATCCTCTCACCCCCCCACCCCACCCCTGCACCTCTGGCCTGTACCCCAGTTCTTATATGCATAAATAAATAAATCTTTTTTTTAAAAAAGCATTGGCTCCTGAAAAAGGCACTTTTTTTTAAGAGCCTCCCAGAGGAAGTCAGTCTTTGTTCCCCTACTTACCTTATTCACTGTTACCTTAATCACTGAGAGGGCACCCCCCTCTTCTGCTGCATGTTCACTCACATGATCTGGTGGACTTTCTAAAACACTTGCCAAAGATAACCTTCACAATTCAGCCTAGAGAGGGGTTACAAAAAGGAAAAAAAATTGTTTTTATCACCTATGATCTTCCCATACTCAGTCTGCCCAGGTTCTACCACAATGAGGAGCAGTGGTAGGTATTAAAAGGGGAAATGGGAAGTGGAGAGAAAAATCCATGACTGGATTACTTAGGCTAACTCAATCATTATTTTGAAAGATTTATTTATGTATATACAAGCTGGGGTACAGGCCAGAAGTACCGGGGTGGTATGGGGTGAGAGGATTCACCAGAGATAAGGGTGGGGAGCAGAACAGGAAGACTTACTGAAACACACTGCTGAGGGGAGCAGCAGGCGAGACAAGAGAAGTCTGCTGCTCCATGTAAGTTAGTTCCCTGGTTGGGGATCAAACTCATGCTGCAGTGGCTTCCTATAGTTTCACAGTGCTGAGACTTAACTCCTTGCGCCACCAGGGAGGCCCTAACCCAACCATTTTTAATGTGATTTTTCATATCACATATGATGTGGTATGATATTTCATATCACAATGGAAAAACTTACAATGTAACATTTACGATACATTGCACATTTACTAGTTATTCCTTTGTCTACTCTCACAAGAACAAAAGATTCAAATGACGAAAACTCTGTTAATTGATATCTAGAAGACTCTTGACACTTGGTAAGCATTTAACAACTGTCTATTGGAAGAAGATGGGCTGAATCACGATCTGTTTTCTGCCACCAACAGGGAGCACACCCAAAACCAGAGAGAACTTACCAACCGTCCACTAAGACAGCCACAGTGACAGTATCCATCCTGACTGGGCAGGAAGCCTCAGTATAAGTGACAAGTGTTGCTCTTGACCAATAACAAGCTTTCTGGTTGCCCAGGAATTGGCATTTTTAATAAGCATCCCAGGTGATTTTAGGCATGATAACATTTTACACCATAGAAATTTCCTTTATCAAGGGAGCACAATCTCAGAGACTATTATAAAAAATAATTCAGTGTGGAATAAAAGTGTTTCTGTCTCATATGGTCTCCTTCTCTCAGAAGGAATCTTGAGGAAGCCATAGGTAGAAGACACAATACTAGCCTGGATTCAATCCATTTTCTACACCAACTAGTTATAATCTTTGGCACGATATCTAATTATCCCATGTGCAAAAATAGGCAAATGGGAAAAGGAGAAAGTTAGGTTCATTATTCTGTAGTGTAGCCTCAACATTTTAAAACTTTTTTTTCATTATCACAATGGGAAAAGATCAAATAATTGTCTAGTGCCTATTAAAACTACTTTCCCTTCCCAGGAACTGGGCAAGCCCACCAAAGCCACTGAGCACTTACCAAGACTTCACAACGGTTTGATAACCACATTCAGGATGCTGATTTGAGCCTCTGGCAATTTTCTAGTAAACTCACTGAGCAGGGCAGGACTCAGTATACCTCTTCAACAGAAGCATGGATTCTGATCCTGTTTGGTTGGACCTGTGTAAGATGAAAGAGTTGGACCTGTATAAGATGTAAGAGTCAAGGTTTCAGATCTAGCTTTAATTTTACTTTTACCACCTTGGTGAAGTGAACCAACTCTACCTAGGACCTCAGATTTCACTCTTACTAAGCATTATTACCAATACAAGTATGCTCTTTATCTGGCAAAGACTGTTGAAAGACCTACAGTTATTCTATAATAAGGATTCTTGTCTCCATTTTAAATGAGAAAACGTGGTAACAGAGGTACCAACTCACTACACCACAGTGTCAGGCTCAGAAGTGAAGTCCAATGCTAACTGATCTTCATAGTTGCCTGCAAGTCCTTCAAGTCCGTCTCCTCCTTTATATTTATACCTCAATATCCCTATCTTTGAATGGGGGTAAACTTGATCTCTTAGGGCCCCTTCTATGTCTGGCAGTTAATGACCCTCTGTTCCAAACTCCTATCTAAAAACATCCCCTAAAAGTGACCGAAATCTCCATCTAGTCATCAGATGGCATTTGGTTCACATTAATGAGGAAAAGGTAACAAGGTTTGTCATTTACAGTTTCAATTTTCTCAGTACTCACCTTACACATATGTGAAAAGGAACCAAACATATCTGCACCTTTCCTTTATCAGCTACCTGGTTTACCAAAAGGATTATAAGGAGGCAGGCGGACTTACAGCTAGTCCTCTAGACTTCCCGAACTCAGCTACTAAAAGGAATGGGGCTCTGATACCTGAGACCACAAAAGACAAGCCAAAGACCTGTCCATCCAGTCTCCCCCAGCCCCCAAGGGTCCTTCCTTTGTAAGGAAGCAGCCTATTACCTCTAGTTTACTGCTCCCTAACAACTTAGCATGAAAAGCAACCCAGAAATCTGGCAATTAATTCAGAAATGGCCCAAAGCCCAGGCTATTATAACTATGTTTCTTGTTACTTGGTGAGGTGTAGCAGGCAACCCTCAAACTCCAGGAGGACCCAAGGAGCAATTTCCCAGTGCTCATCTTTCACCACCAGCATAAACCTGTCTAATAATCTACTAGTGACTATGAGGTCCAAGCGGGGGTGGGGGGGTGTGTGTGGGGTGTGTGTGTGTGTGTGTGTGTGTTTAGAAGGAACCTTGATAGGTTCAAGCCATCTCTTTATTGAATAAAGCAAAGCAGCCATTACTAGAGCAAGAGCTGCATACCCACAAGCAGCTGCTGCCACTAGCAATTAAAAGCCCTGAAGGGCAAGGATAGGAAAGGAATGTGTACAAGGCCTAATTGGGAAATGAATGGTGGGCATAAACCCTAATGCCAAAATGCCTATACTAAAGAGACAAGAATAGGAATTTGATAGACACTTTCTCTGAAGACAGATCTTTTTTCTACTGCTCCATTCTCCCACCCTACCCAGTTCTTTTTCAAACTAAATGGCTTCAGTTTGCAGTACCTACACTGCCCCCATTTATTCCACAGCTGTTCAGGTCAACAAATTTCAAAATGAAAATGGTTTCAATATTTATCTAACTTTGAAAGTCATAAATGCACACTGAAAAACAATACCAAAAACACATTTTGAAAGTAAAACAAAACAAAACAAAAACTCACAGAATCCCTGAAAGTTTTAACACTTGGAGTATGTTGTTCCAACTATTAGAATGTCGGAAAAGTCATTGAGCATCTTTGCTTGAAAAACATAGAAAAAATATGTCACGGGCGCGGGGTGTTGGGGAGGGTCTCCCTGATGGCCTAGGGGTTAAGTTTCAGTGCTATCACCACTTCGGCCTGAGTTCCATCCCCAGCCAGGGAGCTAACCCACGTATTGCGCAGCAGACCTCTCCTGTCTTGCCCGCTGCTCCCCTCAGCAGTGTATTTCAGTCAATCCGCCTCTGCTGTTCCCCACTCTGTCTCTGGTGAATCCTCTCACCCCCTGTACTTCTGGCCTACACCCCAGTTCTTCTACACACACAAAAAGAAAAAAAGTCATTATGTTTCCAAGAACCCAATACATGTACAAGCATGAATTTTTATTTTGCAAAAATTAGATGAAATCATACCACTCTTCTGTAGCATTTTTGCCAATTAATATGCTGGCTACATCTTCCCACATCAAATATTCAGCTGCAAGACTTTTTTAATTTTTAAATTAGTATATGAATACACCAAAATATCTAAATTAGGTAAGTATTTCCATTTTTTACTGCTATGAACATTGTGAACATTTCCATACCTAAATCTTTTAGACTATCCTCAGATTCTTTCTTTAGAATTTCTTTACAGTATTTGGGGAGGACCTCCCTGGCAGTGCAAGGGGTTAAGACGCAACCTATGAAGCTATCCGCAGCCACAGCACGAGTTCCATCCCCAGCTGGCCAGGGAGCTACCCACATGGCATAGCAGACCTCTCCTGTGTCGCCCGCTGCTCCCCTCAGCAGTGTATTTCGTCAGTCTGCCTGTTCTGTTCCTCACTCTGTCTCTGGTGAATCCTCTCACCCCCCACACCTCTGGCCTGTATCCCAGCTCTTGTATGCATAAATAAATAAATCTTTAAAAAAATATTTGGGGATATATCCCTAGAAATGAAATTGCAATGTCAAAGGATATGCAATTTTTTTTTTTTATTTTTTTATTTATTTATTTTTTTTTTAAATATTAAATTTTATTTTTATATTCCCCATACAATTGCAACCCCCCCATTCTGACCCCAATCCCTTCCCTCCCGCCCCCCACCCCCAAAAAGTGTCTCTGGTTCATAGTTTTTTGTTGATTTTGATTTTCACTTTCTTATAGTTATTCATTTTCCTGGTCCCTTATTTAAGTTTTCTAGATTCCTGCTATGAGTGAGATCATCCGGTATTTTTCTTTTTCTTTTTGGCTTATTTCACTGAGCATGATCCCTTCCAGTGCCATCCATGTTGCTGCAAATTGCATGTGTTTATCTTTTTTGAATGCTGAGTAATATTCCATGGTATATATGTACCACATCTTCTTGATCCAGTCATCTATTTTTGGGCATTTGGGCTGTTTCCAAAGCTTAGCTATTGTAAACAGTGCTGCTATAAACATAGGGGTGCAGGTGCTCTTTAGAATTGATGTTTCTGTGTCCTTTGGGTAAATACCTAGGAGTAGAATTGCTGGATCATATGGAAGCTCTATGTTTAGTAGGTCCAGAAATCTCCACACAGCTCTCCATAGTGGTTGGACCAGTTTGCACTCCCACCAACAGTGCAGGAGAGTTCCTTTTTCTCCACACCCTCGCCAACATTTGTTGTTGCTAGTTTTTTTAATATGTGCCATTCTCACTGGTGTAAGATGGTATCTCGTGGTAGTTTTGATTTGCATTAAAGGATATGCAATTCTTATGCTGCCCACGAATATATATTGTCAAACTGCTCCCCAAAGGATTATACTAAAGTTGGATATATCCTACCAACACTAGTGAAACATTTTATTTTATTTTTTTGATTTATTTTCAATTTATTTATGAATACAAGAACTGGGGTATAGGCCAGAGGTGTAGGGGTGGGGGGAGTGAGAGGATTCACCAAACACAGAGTGGGGAGCAGAACAGGCGGATCTACTGAAATACACTGCTGAGGGGAGCAGTGGGCGTGGCAGGAGAGGTTTGCTGCGCCATGTGGGTTAGCTCCCTGGCCAGGGATTGAACTCATACCTCAGTGGCTGGTGACAGCTTGATTGCGCTGAGACTTTAACTCCTGTGCCACCAGGGAGGCCCACTATTATAACATTTTGAAGCTTTGCCAATGTGATAGGAGTTAAGTGTAATAATGCATCTTTTATGAGTACAAACATTTATTTGTAAGAGAATTGCAAAGATAGAGCTTAAATCAAGGGAGACAGACACAAACAGGTAACATTTATCATTATCATGATAAAGATAAGATTTCAATTTGTGGTGCTTCCTTATCGACACTAGTACTATCCATTTGCTAAAATTCTAAGGAGTTGTGCTAATGCCGAGTATCATCTAAGTGCTGCTTTGCTGTTTCTCCCTTGGCAAGTCTTGAAAGTAAGAACCAAGTGGAAACCACTTAGAAAACCATCTGTAACCCAGGCTGATAAAGTGAGGGAAGTGCAAGGCAATGTATTATTGGAAGGATTCACTGATATTGAACCCGGACTATTTCCAGTGAACGTTGCGCTGCAGCCATTTTCTTTCAGAAACAAAATGGCTTCTCTCCCTGAGATGCTTTTTCACAGGCAAATTTGCTTATACATGGTTAGGTTGCAGTGGTATCCATGGCAAATTAGATAAGAATCAAAATAAATTATTTTTCAGGCCCATGATGGGACAGACACAGATTAGATCAAAATGGATAGTGACAGATATATTTAAAACCTTTCCAACAAAGATGGATAAACAAATAAAGCAAATACAGCAAAATGCCAGTTGTACTATCTAAGTGGTGGGTATATGGGTTTTCACTATATAATTCTTTCAACTTTTCTGTATGTTTGAAAGTTTTCATAATAAAATACTGGGGAAAATCCACCAAGCAGTTTGAAAAATAAAGCTCTAAATTCTTTCCCTCCATTTTACTCCTCCTAGATTAAGACTATCCAAAATTCTCTTTTTATTTTAGATCTGGTTTTCTCGCATTGGAGTTGGAGCCCTCCAACTTTTTAATGAATTGAAATAAATCACAATATACTCTCAGGATAGTAAGTTGAAAGTTGGGGAGGGAGGGTAGAGAAAAGGACCCTAAAGTCTTAGAAATCTAGGCCCACCATCTGAATTAGTGAACAGTTCAGAAACCCTATTTCTGTCTTTAATAATTAGCATTTGAACACTTAATTCCTTATTTCTCTATTTCTCATTTCAAAGATCTGTGTAGGATGGAGAGGGACAGGGATACGGCACCAAGACATGTGTTCATGTGCTTCAAATTAGGACATAACAAAAGTAATCTCTAGAATGGACACGAGAAACTTGATGATGAAGACACAGTATAACTGACTGCAGGATCCTGGGGGAGGCCTTATAATCAACCTCCTCGATTGAG